GATCTCCACCAAATTCGGGGGATCCCTTCAGCTTGAGGAGCCCTCTCGAACGCCACCCTCCGCGCGTCGGTAGCCCCTCAGGATCGCTAGATCAGTCGGCGCCGGACCGCGAATTTAACCACCCGTAACTCCCGAACCCTGGGGGCTATCGACGCGGGGGTGGTCTCATTCGAAAGCGGGCCTCTAGACGTACACTCGATTCGCGTTTGAGAGGGTTCCTCGAGCTGAAGGGAATTTGGTGCTGATTCGCCGCGCCGTTACGGAGATATGGCCGTTCAAAGTTTCATATATGTTATGTAAAAAAAATTTCTTATCGGCGGCATATTCGCCGATACCGATATATCGGCGACAGGCTCATATCGGCCGATAATATCGGCAAAACGATATATGTGTCGGGCTCTAGTTGTTACTGAACTTTGAACTCATGAAAGGCGCGTCAGGCGTAATCCTGACCGATCATTGTTTATATTATCAGTCACTGGTGTGTCAGAAAACTCGTGCACATCGCTGTTAATAATACTACTGCATATTATATGTCGCTAGTATTGCTGTAATGCTTAAATATGACAGTTAATTTGAAATAACCCAATAAATTCATTAAATCATTCTCACCATTTGGGATTTAAGACAAGTCTGAGGTTATCCGAACTTTAAGAAGTTATTTACGATGATTTTTAAGAAGACTCTTTTCAAGAATTTTAATTCTTCTTAACTTTTGTCTTAAGAGCAATCTTACAAGAATATTCTTAAGAATAACTTTTGGGAATACAAGATATTCTTCACTTGTTTTTCTTAAGTTAGAAGACATTTCTTCTTGAGAATGTTTGGTGGATCCGGCCCCAGCTCGCCATGTTCGCCTGTGAAGTGTTTGTTCAGGCCGGCTGTACATCAGTCTGTTTTTATGGCCTGTTTATATTTAGCTATGCTACTGTCCTCGTCATGAAGCCTGCTTTGCTTGTACAGAAAGCAGGCCATAAATAGATAGCCATGGCTGTTTCTGTCTGCTTAAGTGCAGATTGTGAGGTCTGGGCTGGCGATTAGCAGCAGCCTCGGACGACTTTGCCTGATTGGTCTTTAGGAAGCGTGTGTTCCTGTAATAGAGTGGTGTGTGTGCAGGTGAACACGTTTGCCGTGGGTGAGCTGGTGAAGGTGCTGGATGACACTGACAGTGTGAAGAGACTTCAGGTGGGCCATGGAGAGTGGACAGACAGCATGGCTCCAGTAGGTTCCTCCACAACACACATGACTTGGACTGAAGATCACATTTAATTGTGCCAGTGAATAAACTAACTTCCCCAAAGTTTTTGTGACTGGTTTTAAACAGATGTTTAAAAAAAAAAAAAAATTACCTGAATGCATTTTAGTTTTTTTTTTGTCTAGTATTAACCTTAAAGTGATAGTTCACCCGAAAATGAAAATTACCCCATGATTTACTCACCCTCAAGGCATCTTAGGAGTGTATGACTTTCTTCTTTCAGACGAATCCAATCGGAGTTATATTAAAAAATGTCATGGCTCTTCCAAGCTTTATAATGGGAGTGAATGGGTGTTATTTTTCAATAGTCCAAGAGAAGTCCAATAAAGCGCATCCATCATAAAAAGTGCCTCACACGTCTCCGGGGGTGAATAAAGGTCTCCTGAAGCGAATCGATGCATTTGTGTAAGAAACACATCCATGTTTAAAACTTTATAAACCGTAATCTGTAGACTGTACCAGTCTAGCTTCCGCTAACTGTCATACACGCGTTCATTCCAGCGGATGACGTAGGCGTAGCGTAAGCTCCGGTGAGAATATGCTAGTCTCGCGAAAATCACATTTTGTTTACAGGAGCAAAGGAAGCAAAGTTTCCTTACTTTAGCAAAGGAAAACCAGTCTCCTCTTGGCTTATATCTAAATCCTCTGACATTCTTGTTTACAAATCCTCGTTTTGTACTTCTAAGTAGTGACCAGTGTTTTGTTTTGATCTCTCCGCTGCGCTTCCACATTAGACACTTCTCACCGGAGCTTACGCTACGCCTACGTCATCCGCCGCAATGAACGTGCGTACAACAGTTAGCGGAAGCTAGAGATTACAGTTTATAACATTTTAAATAGGGATATGTTTCTTACACAAACGCATCGATTCGCTTCAGGAGGCCTTTATTCACCCCCGGAGCTGTGTGGGGCACTTTTTATGATGGATGGATGCACTTTATTGGACTTTTTTTGGGCTATTGAAAAATAACACCCATTCACTCCCATTATAAAGCTTGGAAGAGCCAAGTAATTTTTTAATATAACTCTGATTGTATTCGTCTGAAAGAAGAAAGGATGGCTTGAGGGTGAGTAAATCCATGGGCTAATTTTCATTTTTGGGTGAACTATCCGTTTAAATGTCTCGTATAGCTTATTTTTAATTGTAAATGACTATTGTTATTTATTCTGTTTTCGTCATGAAGATAGACTTGCTGCTGACATGGTGTTAATAAATAAATACATTTATTGGAGTTTTAAATGAGAAACAGGAAGAGCAGCAGTTTTGAGAAAAGAAAATGCAAATGTTAAAAATAGATTTGCAGTTCCATTGCCAAATCATGAGAGAATTACAGCAATAAATTAAAAACAAATAAACACATACTAAAAATGAAAAAAAAAATGTTGTGCCATATTTCATTGATTCTTTTATGACCAGCCAGTCAGTAACTACACAGATTTAAGCTATTTATGTTTGCTTCACTAAAATAAAACCAATTCATATATGATTGTTTTAATTGATGTATATTTAATTCTATTAAATAGTATTTTTATAATTGCGTGGCGAGGTCGACGCCAATCTGATGACGGCTGAGAACTCCAGCGAATCAGGAAGTAAGAATGCACAGGAAGTCCCTGAATGGCTGCTGAGCATAATTACATCATGATAAAAATTACTCTATATCATTAATTTTCATTCGACTTCTCTTTAAGATAAAGAGTTCTGTTTTCTTCCACACTGTCCTGCATGATGCCAACGCTTGTTTTTCTCGTTTCAGCACCGTTTGTGTTTTCCGTGTATTTCTCTCTCTCTGTTTCTCTCCGTCACACACTGTGGCAGCGCTGGATAGTTTGTGATGTTTGTGTCTTGATGCATGGTGACATTTTGACTCATTCTGACTGGTTTAGAGGGTTTTGAGCTGTAGAACTGTAACACTAAACCCTTCTCTGAACACAGAATGGAGATGTCTCTTTCTCTCTGTCGTTCAGGTACGGTCATTTCAGTCCTGGAGAAGCTGCTCTCTCAGTCCACGGAGCAGGATCATCCGGGCCGGCTGGTTATCGAGGCGGCTCACGGGAACGCCGTTAAAGTGCGTGAACTGGTGCAGAAATACCCTGACAAGGTTAGTGCCTCAGTCTGATTTAGTGGAAAGAAATGGATAAACACATAGTAAAAATGAAAAAAAAAATGTTGTGCCATATTTCATTGATTCTTTTATGACCAGCCAGTCAGTAACTACACAGATTTAAGCTATTTATGTTTGCTTCACTAAAATAAAACCAATTCATATATGATTGTTTTAATTGATGTATATTTAATTCTATTAAATAGTATTTTTATAATTATTTTAAATTAGTAGTTTTATAAATTAACTTTTATAATTTATAATAAATTCAGGATTTCAAGTAGTTTTATTTGTTGAAATTTGTAAAATCAGTGCTGTAATTCTGGCATCATGGCAGCGCTGATTAACTGATTGACCCTCTAGCGTTCAGATGACGAGAGTGTGTCTGTGTGTGTGTGTGTGTGTGTCTGTGTCTGTGTGTCTGTGTCTGTGTCTGTGTCTGTGTCTGTGTGTCTGTGTCT